TTGGACATTTATTGGAGGTGATAAGTTATCAAATTCATGAACAACCAGAAAAGAGGATTTAGCTGGCCATATATTGAGAATTAAAGGCAACAGATGGGTAGACTGAGCACTTAAGTGGTACCCTCAAGACATTAAAAGAACAAGAAGGCCTCCAGTAAACTGGATATGTCCTCTGTGGAGACATTACAGAAAAACCTGTACATGAATTGGCATAGGATAGGAGGGCACGAAAGGGGAGCAGGGGATGGGGCAGGAAGGGAATAAGCATTTATTAAGTATCTACTCTGTGCCCAGCACTGTCTTTGCAGGGGTAGAAAGAGTACCGACACCATTAAGATGACATAGTTACCTGAGGCAAACAACAGGCAAACCAAGTATCTCCAACCAGGAAGTTAGGACTAAATATTAGAGCTGGAAGAAATCATGGGGTCAGTGATTTAGAATGGGAAGGGACCTCAGAAACCACTTAACCCAACCCCCCTCACTTTACAGAAAAGGAAAGTGTGGCCCAGGAAGGCGGCCTAAAATGACTTGTCCATGGTCACATGTTGTTGTTCATCCTTTGTTTCCATTTTTCTTTTTTTGTCCATTAATTTATTTTTAGTTTTCAACATTTACTTCCACAAGATTTTGAGTCCCAAATTTTCTCTCCCCTCCCCCATCCCAAGATGGTGTGCATTCTGAATACCTTTTCCCTTAATCTGCCTTCCCTTCTATTTCCCCCCCTTCTCTTATCTCCTTCCTCTTCTATTTTCCTGTAGGGCAGGATAGATTTCTATACCCCATTGCCTGTATATCTTATTTCCCAGTTGCATGTGAAAATAATTTTTAACATTTGTTTTTAAAACTTTGGGTTCTAAATTTTCTCCCTTCCTCCCTCCCCACCCACCCTCATTGAGAAGGCAAGCAACTCGAATTAGGTTATACTTGTATAGTCATGCAAAACACTTCCATAGTAGTCATGCTGTGGAAAACTGACTATATTTCCCTTCATCCTATCCCGTCCCCCATTTATTCTGTTCTCTCTTCCGACCCTGTCCCTCCTCAGAAGTGTTTGCTTCTGATTATACCCTCCCCCAATCTGCCCTCCCCTCTATCATCCCCCTACTCTCTTATCCCCTTCCCCCCTATTTTTCTGTAGTGTAAGATAGCTTTCCATACCCAATTGAGTGTGTATGTTATTCCCTCCTTAAGCCAAATCTGATGAGAATAAGATTCACTCATTCCCTCTCACCTTCCCCTACTTCCTCTCCACTGTAAAAGACTTTTGTCTCTTTTATGTGAGATAATTTACCCCATTCTACCTCTCCCTTTCTCCTTCTCCCAGTATAATCCTCTCACCCCTTAATTTTATTCTCCAGATGTCACCCATTCATCTTCAACTCACTCTGTGCCTTCCATCTATCAATTTATCTATACGTATAATTTTTTTCCCCTCCAACTACCCTAATACTGAAAAGGTCTCATGAGTTACAAATATCATCTTTCCATGTAGGAATGTAAACAGTTCAACCTTAATAAATTCCTTATGATTTCTCTTTCCTGTTTACCTCTTCATGCTTCTCTTGAGTTTTTGTATTTGAAAGTCAAATTTTCTATTCAGCTCTGGTCTTTTCATCAAGAATGCTTGAAAGTCCTCTATTTCACTGAATGACCATTTTTTCCCCTGAAGGATTATATACTTAGTTTTACTGAGCAGGTCATCCTTCTTTTTCAAAGAGGACCGATAACATCACAGGGTGATGTCTTGACTTGCTTGTGAACCGAAGTGAGATGGAGTCCATGGTCACACAGGCAGTATCAGACATAGGATCTGAATTCTTTTATTTGCTAAGATGCCCAACAGGAAATCACAAAAAAGTTGAAGAGCCCTGATCTAGAACATGCCATGGCTACCTAAATCTCTCAAATGATAACAGACAAACGTGTAAATACTTAATAAGTGATCACCCTCCTGATACATTGCTTTTTTCTACTTCTTAAGAGTATAGCTAGAGAAGTAATGGGATTCTACTGCAACAAGATGGATTAGTTTAGAAATTTTAAACTGGGCAGGACCTGTGATTTCATCAATAGATGTGGTATATAAAATTGTTCACTAGACCAGTTGTGATGGGCAGGGTGTCACTGAATACCCATTTCTAGAGCTTTTAAAAACAAGCACGCCAACGTTTTTGAATACTTCAAAGCACGACATGGTTGAAGGCAGAAGGATGAAATAAAATAATTCCTGAAGATGGCCCCACCTCCCCTATGCCACTTACTATCATGGTACAGTGGAAAGAGCATGCTTTGGAGTCAGAGGACCTGAGTTCAGAGCCTACCTCCATGACGTTAGGCAAGTTACTTAACTTCTTTAGGCCTCAGTTTCCTCTCCTGTAAAATGAAAGGAGTCAGACTTGACAGCTTCTGAGCTACCCAGTTCTAAATCTAAATATGATCCTATTTGTGGATGCATATTAAAACTGCCTTTTTAGTTTCTCTAGAAATATTTTTTAAAACAGTATTTTCTTCAGCCTAAAACCCTTTCCAGATTTTTCCCCTTAGGAAGAACAAAAGCAAAGGCCTTCCTTTGAAATGAAATTAAGAATGATTATCAAACTCAATTCTTGTCAAGATGGGATTATTGCCTTCCCCCTCAGCTGGAGTACCATCATAGTATCTCCTCTTTTGAAATTCTAGGCTTAGATCCTAATCACTGGAAAGTGGGTTAAGGGGAAGTGATCCAGGAAGGAACTGAGTTTAACTTTTCTGAAATGTTAACCTAAAACTGTACTTTAATATGGTATGATCTTTTCCTTGATAAAGATTCGTATAAATGTTACCTAAAATTGTAGAGAATGTGATTAGAATCAGGTCAGCAGGGATGGGGAACGATCCCCATCTGAACATCTCTACGAGCTAAAAATGGCTTGTTCGGTGACGTCTAACTCTTCGAGACCCCCATTTGGGATACTCTTGGCAGAGATACTGATACCAGAGTGGTTTGGCATTTCCTTCTCCAGCTCATTTTACAGATGAGGAAACTGAGGAACACAGCTAGTAAGTATCTGAGGTCATATTTGAATTCAGGTCTTCCTGACTCCACGACTGGCAATCTAACCACTGTGCCACCTAGCTGCCCAGAAATGGCTTGTAGATTGAGATTAAATTAAATTGTTTCTAGCACACTTGTGCCCAAATTACATAACACAGTTAGTACTTTTTCTTAGGTATTTTGTTCAATAATAACAATAGCTAATAGTTACATAGCACCTACTATGTGCCAGGCACTGTGTTAAGTGCTTTGCAATTATCTCATTTGATCTTCACAACAACTGTGTGAAGTAGGCAAAATATGCCCATTTTACAGACGAGAAAACAAAGGCAAACAGGGGTTAGGTGACTTGCCCAGGGTCACACAACTACTAAAGGTCTGAGGTAGGACAGGAATTTAGGTCTTCCTATGCTCTATCCATTATGTCAATTAGCTTCCACCTGAGTGACTTTGGGGCAAGTTACCCTCTCCATAGGCCTCAGCTTCCTTCTGAGCAAAATAAGGCCGGATTAGCTCTAAAGTACCTTCCAGATCTAAATCCATCCTTTTATGTTAAATTAACATTTGAGGGACTTTAGGAAAGCCACTAAAACCTCTTTAAGCCTTAGTATGTTCCCCTAGATAATGAAGAAGTTGGACTAGATGTTTCTGGGAAACTGTTGCAGCTAAAATCCCACCTTCTACAGGAAACTCTTCCCAACCCCTCTTAATTCTAGTGCCTCCAGTTATTTCCTATTTATCCTGTCTATGATTCATAGCTGTTTGCATATTGTCTCCCCCCTTAGACTGTAAGCTCCCTGAGGGCAGGGGCTGTCTTTTGTATCCCTATCACTCAGCCCAATGCCTGGCGCTTAATAAACGTTTAATGACCGACTGACCATGTGTCCAATCGATAGAGCCCTGGACCCTGGAGTCAGGGAGACCTGAGTTCTGATCAGGGCCCCCTCAGTCACGGCCTCTGTAAAATAACGTGGATAATAATAGACTCCCCTCCCACAGCTGCGAGGACCAAATAAGATAATACTGTATCTGTAAAATGTTTTGCCAACCTTAAAGCGCTATATAAATGCTAGCTATTATTATTACTACTGACAATAATGAGTCTATAATCCTCTTTCTACGGGAGGTCACTCTCGTCCCCTGGGCCTCCGTTTCCTCCTCTGTAAAATGGGGGGGGGGGTAGAGGGTGAGTAGTGGACTAGGTACTTTCCCAGATCCCTCCCAGCTCTAAAACTGTGAATTGTAAGGCAGGGGTGCGGGTACCAGTAACCGAGCTGCCCTCAAGCCAGCATTTGACAGGATCCGAGGGGAAGGAGGGTCCGCTCTCGGATCAAGCCGCAGTCGGAGATCCCGCCCCCAAGGAGAGGAAACAGGAGCAGCCTGCCGCGCGCCACCTGCAGCCAATCACGTCACGCTTCCCGCGAGTCTTGGTCTATCCCACTGGGACTCAGTCTCCAGGGGGAGCAAGGAGAGCTGCCCCCTTTCTTTAGACCATGTGACACCTTCCTCAGCTCCCCGCCCACCCCAGTCTTGGGCCATACCAAGTCACCGGCTTTGGGGCCGAACCATTCCCCACAAAAGAGCACTCCTCGCTTCTAGGAGATGCTGCCACTACGGTCAATCCTGAGGGGGTGATAGAATAGAAAGGCACATCTTACCACCCACTCGCTAAAAGCTTACTAGTTCAGGGAGATATACCCTTACCTTTATTTTACTAAAATATCTAGGAAGCATTGCTCTTATAGGCTTGTTATTAAAAAAAAAAAACCCAAGGATTTTCTGGAATCATGCTGTATGCCCTCCCATTTTAAATTTGGTATATCTCACATCTCACTTCTCTATAGTCACCCGTTTAGAAGCTCCTGGGATTTAAAGTGGCAGCACTAAGTTCACATGCCAGCCCTTGAACTTCCCGCTAGGGGGAAAGAAAGAAGATGCGAGTGAGTGGTATGTGCGTACGTACGTGCGTGTGGGAATTTCAGATGAGAACAGGGATCCAGACACCTTCATGATGTCATCGATTTACCGCTGGTGGGGCTGTCAAGCCATGTAGGCCAAACCAGCTCATCTTACAGAGGACACTGAGGTTCAGGGAGATGTAGTGACCTGTGCTGTGTGGAAGCCACGAAGATAGCGAGTACCAGAGGCAGGATTGGAGCTCAGATCCTCTGGGTCCAGAGTCTGTGCTCTTTTCCTTTCAGCATCTGGATGCTGGATAGCTTTATTAGGAGTGCAAAAGGATCATGGGCTTGTACGTCAACCGGCATTTATTAAGTCATTACTGTATCAAAGACACCAGGGAATCACTGAGGATACAAAAACGCAAATCCCCAAACAAACAAACAAAAAAACTGGTCCTGCTCTGGAGGAACTCACACTATAATGAGGGAGACAGTACATAAATAACTAGGCATATACAAATTAGATACTGAGTAGATGGAAGATAATATCAGAGGGAGAGATACTAGAGTGGATCGACATTTATTAAGCACCTACACTGAATGGGTGTTGCCTCAGTCAAATTGAGACACGTTAAAGACCTTGGCTTAAAAAGGCTGTGGCTGGCCCACTGCATCCAGGGGCCATCTCCCATGGTCCTGATCTATATCTTCTCACGTGGTCCTGATCTATATCTTCTCACGGACCGAGATGACTCTGGAGGAGAAAGAGAGGCTGATGACTCTGCACAGCCCTTCCCTTAATTAAATCCAATTCACTTTCACACCAAGGCTTCAACTTCCTGATGTCATTGATATTCAGGAAGAGGACCCTCTTCCAGACCAGGAAGGACAAACAACAACAACTATGTGTCAGGCACTGTGCTAAGTGCTGGGGATACAAAGAAAGGCATGATGCCCTGCCTTCAAGGAGCTCCCAGTCTAAGGGAGGAAACCACACAGAAAGGAACTGAAAAGGGAAGAGGGGTACAATGATGTCCTGAACCTGCATTGAGGTAGGAAATGATCTGAGGAGGTGAGAGTTACAGAGTTGAGTTCCTCTTGCATAATGGTGAGTGTCCAGGAAAGCAGCTGGGTGGAAAATGATGAGAATTCTCCGGGTGCCCGTCTCTAATGGTGAAGGAGCTGGATGGAACTCTTCATGAAGAGACGGTGGAGTTTGAGCTGAGTCTTGTAGGAAGTCAGGAATAAGGAGCAGAGGTGGAGGGGGAACATTCTAGGCACAGAGAACAGCCCTCCTTGTGAAATGGGACTGTTTGTTACCTTTCTTTGTATACCCAACACTTAGCACAATATCTGACACAACATAGGCTTCCTTTAAGTCCCAACTAAAATCCTACCTTCTACTGCAAGCCTTCCCCAGCCCTTCTTTCTTCCCTCTGTTAATTAGCTCCTATTTATGCAAGGATCTTCTGGAATCATGCCCTATGCCACCACCCCAATTTTAAACTTAGTATGTCTCACTTACCTATAGACACAAGTTTAGAAGCGAGAAGCTTGTTTTGTATGTATTTGTTTTCATATTGTCTCCTTCCTTAGATTATAACTAGAGACTATGTTTTGTCTTTTTTTGTATTCCCAATGTTTAGCATGGTGCCTGGCACATAATGGGTGCTTAATAAATATTTATTGGTTGGTAATCCTGAATGTTTTCTCCCCCATTAAATTGTAAGCCTCTTGAGGGCAGGGACTGTCTTTTTCCTCTTTTTGTATCCCCAGTGCTTAGCACAATGCCTGGCATGTAGTAGGTGTTTAATAAATGCTTATTGATTGATTGATAGTTAACTGACTGACAGTTCCAAGGCACAGAGATGGGAGATAGGGCTTCGTGACCTAGCTCAGTGTGGCTTGATTGGTGCATGGGTGGAAGGAAATAAAGGGTAAGCAAGACTGAGGAGGTAGGAATAGGTCTGATTGTGAAAAGCTTTAAATGCCACACAAAGAAGGCAATAGAGTTTATGGAATAGAAGATGTGTGACATGAGTAGACCTTTGCTTCAGGAAAATCCTTTTGGAACTTGCTTGGAGAATAACTTAGAATAGGGAGGGACTTGGGGAAACCAATTAGAAGACCATTTCAATGGTCTATGAAGGCATTGATAAAGGCTTGAAATAGGGGTGGTGGCTATGAGTTAGAGATGTTATGAAGCTAGAAACAATAAGACTTGGCAAAAGACTGGATGTGTGGTGTGAGAGAGAGTGAGGAGTCCTGAATGACACAGAGGTTGCTGACTTAGGTGACTGGGAAGATGGTGGTGTTCTTAATACTAATTGGGAAGTTTGGAAGAGATTTAAAACTAGAAAGCGCCTCAGAGATCATTTAGTCCAACCCCCTCATTACATTGTTGTGGTTGTTCATTTGGGGTTTTCTTGGCAAAGATACTGGAGGGGTTTGCCATTCCCTTCTCCAAACCCCTCATCTGTAGAGGAAGAAAAGTGAGCTCCAGAGAGATCAAAAGACTTGTTGAGGGTCGAGGGCTCTCATTTGAAAAGTTTGGGGTGAATGGACAGAAGGGAAAGAGGAAAAAGGGAGAAGAGGTCACACGACTCTAGACAACCCTAGTGGAGACTGGTGTCTGTTCCAGGAAATGAAATTTTATTTATGTGTCCTCTTGGCTGTGTTTTTATCTGTCATTCCTATGTTTTATCCTCAAAGGGCATTTTTCAAGGCAGTGTTTTTTGATGGTGGGTGTAGGGTCAATGCTTGGGATTGAAGCCTGAGGAGGGAGCGGTAGGATGGTGATCACTCCTCAATCGGAATCATCTGTTACCCAGCGTGGGCAGGAAAGCAGTTGGGGCTGTTGCTGGCTTAATGAAGACGGAGAGGCGTTTCTAGCTGTGCACAGTTGCATCTTCCCCCATTAACAGAGGTGACATTCCCACTCGCTGCTCATTACCCAGAAAAGATTGGACAGGAATGGGGAGACATATTGATTACACCAAAGCCCTCCAGCTTCTGTCTCCAGTTAGATTGCTACGAGCGTCAAAAGCCCCCTCACCCTCTCTGGTTTTGTAAAAAGAAAAATAATAACTCTGGCATCCGAGGTCATCTCTTCCATACTCCTGCTTTCAAGCCCTAATAGCCTTTGCAGACAGGCTTCAATATTTCTGGGATGATCAAAATGTTGACAAGCCCATGCAATGTTCTCAGAGCCTACCCAAGCTTCTCAGTGCTCTGGAAATGATGTGTCTAAAGGCAGGGAATGTGTGTGTGGAGGAGACAGAGAGTGAGCAGAAACTGTCAGAAGGGACAGAGTGACCCTCACTCCCAAACTAGTAGTGTCTGGAATCTTTTCTTTAGATTCAGAAGGAGAGAAAATAGGTATAAGGTGTAGCAAGAGATATTCGAGTTCCAGGAAGAAATTCCTGGCTTCTAGTGTTCTATGATTAAGGCACGTTGTGGAATTTTCTTCTCTAGAAATCTTTTCAAATAGGACAGAACTCCCAACTCTCAACCACCAAGACCTATTTGGGTAGAACAAGTCAACATTTAAGCATTTATATGTCAAGCACTGTGTTAAGCACATAAGAGGTTATACAAAGAAAGGCAAAAGACAGCCCCTGCCCTCAAGGAACTCAGTCTAATTAGGAAGACAACATGCAAATAATTATGTTATATATATATATATATATATATATATATATATGTGTGTGTGTGTGTGTGTGTATGTGTGTGTGTGTATGTGTGTGTGTGTGTATGTGTATAGGTGTATATATATATATATATAGTGTGTGTGTGTGTGTGTGTGTGTTTGTGTGTGTGTGTGTGTGTGCGCGCGCGCAATATTGGAGGATTAAGGGGGCTCAAGAAAAACAGCTTGTAGAACACAGGATTAGAGCTGAGATTTGAAGGAAGCCCAGAGGCAAAGATGGGGAGGAAGAGCTTTCCAGTCATGGGGAGATAGCCAGTAAAAATGCTTAGAGTTAGGAGATGGAACATCTTGTTTGAAGAACAACAGAGACCAATGGTACTGAATTGTAGAATTCGTGGAGTATGGTAAGATGTGAGACATCTCAAAAGTAGGAAGGGGCCAGGTCACAAAGGGCTTTAATAGCCAGACAGAGTATTTTATATTTGATGGTGGAGGTAATAGGAACCACTGGAGTTTATTGAATAGTGAGGCAGTGAATGACCTTGGAGTCTTCGATAACTGACCAGGCTCTAAGTGCTCCACAGCACCTGCTTCAGCTGCCTTGGTAGCTGTTGGAACAAATTGTTCTCATACACCCATTCCACTGGGGGAAGTCTTCATGTGCTTGGGGTAGACATCTCCCTAACTTACCAACAGGTTTCTGACATGGTCAGATCCGTGTGTTAGGAGGATCACATTAGCTGAGTAGAGAATAGACTGGGGAGAGAGGCCACTTTGCCTGAAAGCAGGAGAATGAACTCAACTCCCAGCATACCCCATTTAATTAGGTGAGCCAATGAAGACAAACCAGGGAGAAATTCTCCAACTCCAGAAGTTTCTGTAGCCTGAAAGGACAAGTCACACACACACACACACACACACACACCACACACACACACACACACACACACACCCCCACATGTTCACATGCATACATACAATATAAGAGCTCAAGAATACACGTGCAGAGAGAGAACAGGCTCACATATATCCTCACATGCAGGCAGATTCCGGCAGCCACTGGCTCTCTGTGACTCCTCTAGCCCTCACGTCTCAGCAGGCACCCCCGCTGTCGCGCTACTTAATTTTAAACTGGCAGCAGACGGGCCTCCACTTAAAAATAACTATTTTGACAGTTCAGATGTAAATATGTGAGTGGCGTGTGGGGCTGTTTTTCCTTCACATTTCCCCCCACTCACCACCCTTCCCCAGGCCCTCATGTGCCAAAGCTGAGTTGGTGGGAGAGATTGCCATCTGCAGGGTGCTCCCTTAACCAGAGTTTCAGTTATTCCCCACTTTGTTTCATCCAGTTTCACCAGGCAGCCCCTGCTTGGGAAACAGCCAGTCAGGCCCAGTCAGCCTTATTTCATAGCTACTTGCCTATTTTAGGAAGGGGGGTATCATGGAGAAATTTTCTTCTAGGACATGGATGATTTTTGAGATCCTTTCTAGCTTTAATATGCAATGACTATGGTTCTAAAATAGGGATAGCGGACTGTGATTTCAGTTCAATTAATCAAGGGGTTTTTATTGCCCAGTACAGTGAGGGCTACAAATACTTTTCCATCTGTTATCTGTTCTGATTTGAAAAAAGATTTT